GTGTTCGATAATATGACTTATGCAGTTTTTGTAATTTAGCGAAAATGCCAGTACTTAATTGGTCTAAAACACTATGTCTGATGATTATCATTTAGTAGAACTGTAACAGCAGTTCTTGGATGTTGTCAACAAAATAAACGTCGAGAGCAGGAGATGAATTTTCTCTTGCTCTCTTCCGAATGCATTTTCCTTTTTCTTCTCGTTAACGACTTTGTATGCGCGCATGCACCAGACGTAGAATGAAATAATGATGAGAACAATTTACTTGTCAAGAACTGACTCTATTGACTAATGTCGTTTATTCTTATTACCAGTTCTTTTCTTTTAGCATCATTTACTCACACATCTTTTTCTGATTTGAAACATACTGGGCTATGCTGTATGCATCTGTTTGTGCCTCTAAGATGAAGAAATACGTAAAAAAAATAGATAGAAAAATAGATAGATCAATGTAAACGACAAAAAAAAATAGTAAAAATAAAAAAGAAAGAACACGAAGAAGGAGAAAGAGAAGAAAACACTCGCACCTCTCTCTGTAGAGCAACGATGGAACGAGCGCAAATGAGACGAAGAGAGCACGAATGCACACTACACCTTGCAATTCTCTGTTCGGTAGCACAGCTAGAGAACGTACATGCAGTGCTAGCAGAACGACCTTTTCTTCTATTCTCGTTACTACCTTCTTCCCTCCCTCCTCTCTCTCTCTCTCTTTCTCTCTTTCTCGGCTAATGATGAAGAAATTTATGCACATGACCGTCGTTGGAGCAGACGTGTATCACTTTTTCTTCTCTTCTTTCATGATACATAGAATGAAGAATACATACTAAAGAAACTATATATTATGTTCAATAAACTAGTCAATATTGGATGATTTTATATTTTAGATTTAATTACATATATAAAATTAATCATGCAAATGGCATCATCATCTGCCGCTTATCTTTTACCAGGGCCATCATCATCACCAATAGGAGCTAAAGCAGCACTTATTAAACAAATACTACCAAAATCATCACAAATAACAGGATCAACAACACTTCATTCTGTTCATCCTCAACTTCAATACCCGCTTCATCGATCTTCTGCTTCCAATCAACAATTTTCGAGAATAACATCTAATGTTGACACACTTCACTCATTAACGGTTACTAATACTAATAATGGTACTTCACTATTGATGACAAACAATAATCATAATACCAATAATAACACATCATCTATGTTGACAACTAACAATGGTGATGATAGTGGTGGTGGTGGTTCTGGAGGACATAGTCTTTCACAAAGTATGGAATCGATTAATAATATTGGTTTAACAGATGATGAGGTAAGCCAAAAAAAAAAATGTAAAAAACTTATCGTAGACATATGATAAGATTTATATCTTTGCATTAGTAACAATAAGGAGATTACCACCTGGCATAGTTCGATCTCTAATTGTTCCGTCTTATTTGTTTATCTTGTTTGTCTGTCTTTCTATATATTCTTCTTATTCTTTTTTTTTTTCTTCTCGGTCTTATCGATTATTCTTTTGTATATGCTTATACACATGACAAGATCCTAATAGTTGATTGTTCTGATCGATTCAGCAAAATAACAGTAACATTCTTCTTATTCTTATAATTATTAATATGAAAATAGAAGTCTGTCAAGCTTCTTGTCTATCATCGTCTTTATCAATTGTTTCGGATAAAGTGACATTGTTCGGACATTTTTCTTCGCTCGGGGAGAATTAACTTTGTTAGTTTCCACTTCAGAATTATAGATGTTTTAATCAATCAGTTATCATCGTTGTCCGACAGATTGTATAATCCATTTGTGAACAAAGACAATTATGATCGATCTAGGTATTAAATAATTATTTTTTCTTCTGTCATTTCAATCAACAAAAACAAACAAAAAGAACAAAGACCGAGAATATAAGCAAAATCTCAACATATGTATAAATTTTCCCGAGGAAGAGATTTTCTTAATTTCTTTTCTTTATCGACTTAGTTTTTAAGTATTTTCTTGTTTCTTCTTTTTATATATTATTACTGTGTCTTTATCGTCTTTATATACATTTTTCATTGATTGTCAGAGAACGATACAGATGTTGTCAATGTTAGCCTATGAACCTATAAGCAAGTAAGGCGAGAATGGACGCAGAACATTAACATTTTTTTCTTTATATGACGTGCTCATTGTAGAAGAAACCTTTGTCTATATAAATATATATACATATATATGTCTGAATCTTATAATCAAAGAAAAAATTGTCAAAGATCGATGTGTATGTGTATGTGTGTATGAGAAAGCTCACGCACGAATGATGATCTACATGGGTCGTCGACGCTCTCTGCTTATTATATTACTATGTAGCAAGCATATGCAGTTAATGGGCTGAAAGACGAAGATCCGACCGACCATATACTAATTGCTAGCACGCACAGCTGTTCTTTGTAGCGATTGAATAAACTAAAGAAAGGATAGAAGTAAGACGTGATGAGTGATAAAGATACATTTTCTTATAAAAGAAAATCGATTTTCCACTTGTCCCTTAGGCAATTCACACGTACATCTATGTCATTTTTTTGCTCATCATTATTATTATTATTATTACACGAGAGAATTATTTATTATAAACATATCAAATCAATGAAAAATAAAAGTTACATTGATATATAAGAGAAATAAAAATTTGAAGGTTTGCTTTCTCTTTTTTTTTCTCTTTCACCCGGAAGATAGCAATTTGCTTGAATATTATAATAATGATCACACATTTTGACTTATTCATTCTTTCTTTTGGAGTATCGAAGAAAGTAGTCGTAAGAAAAAGATGAATAAGAAAAGAAAAGAAACATTATTCTTATTGAAAAAAATATACAGACAATTATTATAGCCGTGCTGTTGCTACTAGTAGGCACTTGTCGAATCCTCGAGTGGATGAGAAAAAAGAGAGAATACCGAACAATAGTCGTCAAGATGGTATTGCTTCTATGATTGAAATTGACACTAGCTCGTGACTGTATTACCTACGGGCAACATTTTACTTTGAAATCAAAATATAAAAAGAAAGCTCATGTCTTTGATTGAAAAAAAAGCAAAGAACAATATAAACCATATGGAATTATAATTGTAGTACATGAGAAAGACACTTCTTTTTTCTTTACACAATAAGACAATGTAGTAACAAGAAAAAAATTGTTACTACGATAATTCCATTCGCATAGCTTTTCTGCTCTTTTTTTTGGTGTGTGTGTGTGTGTTGCTGATGTCTCTTTTGTACACGGAATAGCAACATACACACAAATAAGAAAGCAGAAATTGCAGACATACGTATAGAAAAAAAAAAAAGGTCGTATAATTTTTCATATTTTATTTTGTAATGGAACCAGTTATTCTCAATGGAGATACGAATAATAATGGAAATGGAACTGATCCTAGGTAAGATCTATGTTAATAGATAATAATAAAAATAAAAATAAAAAAATAACCATTTTCACATTTAAATTAACGATTGATATCATACCTAAACAGTTAATATATGACCTTTTTAAATATCATTTGGTATCCAGTTAGATCGATATATTATCTTGACCTTGTATAAATGTATATGTATATATATAATCAATAATTTTGTAAGGATATTTTTTTGTTTTATATGTATAGATGTTTAGGGCAGGCCAAAAGTTAATTTCCCTAGAAGAAAACTTCTGTATATCTTTGTGATACATTGACAGAATGAATTGAGATTTACTTTTTTTTTTCTACTGGCCATGAAGATGTGCTCATTGTTTATATCTATAAGAAATCAATGAGAAAATACTATCTCTTGTGATATCGTTTTTACATATGTGTGTGGACTTGTAATTATAATGAATTACAAAAAATAGTATGTTTATCTTTATGATCATAAATAACCAGTATACTATATTTAAAATCGACAATCTCAATGATGACTGTTTGTTCCTCGATTTATGACATAGGTATATAACATAGTAATTAGTTTAACTTAAAAATTTTACATATATAAACAACGGAAATTATTTAGAAAAAAAATTTTGTTTATTTTTATAAGTAATTAGAAATTATGGATTTATATGTATGTCAAAAATAATACTTTACGACAGTATTTTTTTATCGTTTTTTTTTTGTCTTAGTGGTATAAACTTTAAAGATTACTTTATTACCAGTGAGAAAAAATATGATCAATTCATTTATTCATGTGGTATAGCAGAGATTATTGAACTATTCTTCTTAGGAAAGTAATGATTTTTATGTTTAGTAAAAAGTTGTATTATTTTTTTGCTATTCGATTTGAAGAGCTTCATTCGATACTTTTTGATGAATAATGAAAAATACATTTTTTTTTCTTGATATAGTATGTATGAATTTCGTGACAAGTAAAATTGCATTCTTTATTATCGAGATTTTAACAGTATTTATCGACATCTATTGATGGATTTATTAACGGAATCGCGCCATTATAATCAATCGATTTTGCTAAATGTCAATGTAAAAAATGAGATCTGTATATGAATACATGAGTATGCCATAAAGACTATCATTAAACACATGTGAACAACATTGATAGAGATCGATTTTCGATTTTCGTTTCGTTTCATTGAAAAAATTCATTAATGAATATCTAGTGTTCTAGACGATCGAATATCTATTTCAATGTTATTTAGTCATATTTTTTTTTTCTACCTCAATGAAAAGTGTTTCCGATTATAGACGACCATTTGGTTGCTATTACTTGAGGGTACATTAAACTTTCTTCTTTTTTTTTTTTTATGTGTGACAAGTGATCGGGCCATTCCTTCGTTCCGATCGATCTCTTGTCTCTCTCTCTCTCTCGTCTTCTTCTTCTTCTTTTTACCAATTGAATTTCCTTTTCTTCTTTATTTTATGCATTTAAAAAAATTTATTTTCTTTTTCTTTTGTATAATATTTGACGGAAGAAGTAGAGTATCGAGGGAAAACAAGAAGTTTCTATCGATTTTTCTTCTCTTTTTTTTTTCTACTGATTGAAAATGAAACGAGAATGTGCAATCGCATTCTCTTTTTCCTTTTTGCTCCTCTCCCGTTACCTATTTAAATTGATATGATGATGCGACTACAGTGGCGGCAGCAAACGATCGAACAACACAACATACCTTTACTATCGTTCTCTTTTTACAATCGTTATTGAACATATATACATATATATATATATATTTATATTGATTGCTGGGTTTGATAGATATAATAAAGAAAGAAAAAAAAACTCGAAGAAGTAAGAATAGAGATTGTTTCGTTCATATATGTATATAGTTATCAATTCGTCCTATTATGTACTGTCTATTGTAGTCATTGCTACAAGATGAAAAGTTCTACTGACGAACTAAATGAAGTAAGTAGGCAAACAGAATTAAAACACATTTGAGTTTTATTTTTTTATAAAATTATACACACTACTACACATTGATTAGCACGTAACCCTTTGTAGCACTTATAGTTGATGGCGCTTGTGCACTACCATCACCATGTATATATATATTTATATTTATCTATATATACATTTGCATATAAACACGATGAACACTTATCGATATAAATAGACAAAATGATTTTACTCTGTTATTAGAAGAACCAATCGGATTTCGATCCGACAATATCCTATTGCTTTTATTCTTAATCCCAATCACTTTCATTCACTGCTTTGTGTGTTTTGTGTGATTTTGTTGTTGCACCTCGACAATAAGAGAAAAATGTGGTGAATATCAAATTATCCCTAGATGCACATAAGTATTCCCTAGATGATGATTAAGATAAATATATATACACATACACATACACAGATTGTTTCGTTTGTGTATATATATATACACATATATAAAAAAACATAGGAAAAATATACTTTTTAGCATTGATCAATGAGTCGATCGACTCAATATGTCGAACTACGAACATATATACATGTGCATACTATAACATCGAAATAGAAGAAGAGACAAAAAAAAAGAGCTTTTAGTCGAGTTGAGAATAGCACGATAATTTTATCACGCAACCATGTTTCGGACATAATTAGTCACGCTATCCTCGTTATTGTATATGAACGAAGGAAAAATTTACTGAACCGCAAATATACATCATTATTAATTGTTCCAATCAAATAAGAATAGTTTTATTTTTTAATACTTTGTATTAAAAAGAAAGCATCTTTGGTTAATCTATCATGAATATAGGTTATACTTTTGAGTTCGAAACATTAAAGAAAAATTCACTTGATCATCTCGAATTACATGATGTATGGCACTACATCTATCGCATGCCAAGTAACCTTTTGATTATACTTTTGCTTTTCTTTTTGTTTTATGATGACAGAAATTGGAATTTTGAAAATGCTTCAATACAGTAGCAAATAGAGTAATAAAAAAAAAAAGAGCAAAGAGCAAAAAAGCAAATGATTTTTTTATATGTGTGCTTACAACGACTCGTCTTCTTTTACTTTTGTGTTCTTCTGTCTATTTAATAGTAGCAAACATATACATAGAAACATTGTATATCTATTCTTTTTCAAGTATTGATCCATGAAATTCAATTAAATCGAACAAAGACTTATTTCTTTGCCATCATCGTCTATTTTTCTTCTCTTTACCGTAAAAGCCTTTTGAAGTGTGTATGTATGTGCACGACAATGCCATCACCATCATCACTGTCGTGTAAGCCAGAGGTAAGTCTAACCAGAAGCAGTAATTTCTTTTTCTTGTTTTTTTTTGTTGTTGCCCTGATTATATTTTTCTTTATGGAAGAGAAAATCTTTGTTTCTCACCCTTCTATATGTCGCTCATCAACTAATTGAAAAGCATAAGCGCATACATATATTTATATACATACATTGACACACCTGATGCGCATATGCAAGTTAGATCAACACGCAACATCCCTTGTTCTCGTCATCACCAATTGTATAAACAACATTTTTTTTTTCGTCTCGTATTTTCTCGCTCTCTTTCTCAATCTTTTCTCTCGTAGTTGTCGTTACTTGTCGCCGTCTCCCTCCATATCATTGCTCTTCATTTCTCAATTAGGAAGAATTGTTCACTTCAAGTGTGTGTCATTCACTTGGTTTTTTTCGATCTCTTTTTTCTTTCTTTCGTATTATTGATCAAAACATAACTAGATTTTCATCATCATCATCATCACCACCTCAACAGTCATATACGCACATACATACATCGAAAAAAAAAGAACATCCTACTAGCAAAAAAAAAAAGAAAACAGAGATGACACATGAAACAACAATCGACAATGGAAGTGCAACTATCAGCACGGATACTAACACCAACAAAAAAGTACTTCGGCCAAATAGTGATAAGATGCATCTGTTGTATAGACGACCGGTATGTGCGTGTGTGTTTGTACTAACGATACGAAACGAAACGAAACGATATTTGATCTTCATAGAAAAAAAAAAAAATTGAAGAAAAACGACAATTGTTAAAATTATTGTTGCTTTTTTTTTCTTTTTATCTTGATAATTAATCTAATCGATATTATTTATTCTAGGTGCGAACTTTATTCGTATCCGGTTTACCAATGGATGCTAAACCACGAGAACTCTATCTTCTGTTTCGAGGATTTAAGGTAAATAAATTACTACAAATTACGTCGTTTTTTTTTTGACATGAGATGTTATGTTCAAATACATACCTACATATGTAGTAGATATTTCATCTAGACTGTATATGTTATTTTTATAACATATCGTTTGAATAAATTTGATTGACGAATAGAGAAAGAGAAAGAGATAGAAGTATTTGTCATTAGAAACTTGTCTATTGACTGATCAAATATACAATTGAATAGGACAAGTATGACCGATATGGCTATCATGTTGTTGTTTTATTTTTTTTTTCTTCTATTATTTAGGGTTATGAAGGAAGTTTACTTAAAGTAACAAATAAAAATGGTAAAAATTTATCACCTGTTGGATTTGTCACATTTGCCAATCGAGTTGATGCTGAAACTGCTAAACAAGAACTTACAGTAATGAAACAAGAAATTTTTGTTTTTTTCGAAGAAAATTTTGATGATTTTTCAATTAAATTAGGGAGTTCGATTTGATCCTGATCTTCCAGCAACTCTTCGACTTGAATTTGCTAAATCGAATACTAAAGTTCAAAAACCTAAACATCCAAATCAAAATCAATTAACAGCAGCAACACAACAATTTATTCAAATTCCACGTATGTTTCTTTTTTTTTTTTTTACAATAGAAAATTTCTTAATTTAAATTTATGTTATCATTTTCTAATTTCTAGAAGAACTTGGTGCCGCTTTCTTTCCTACCGAAGCTTGGGGTCAACCATTAACATTCGATTTAGGTCCAGCTGGTTTACATCATCCAGCTTTATTACATACCACTCTTCATGGTCCACCAATGGTAAGTTTTTCTAACTAAAATTTTTCAAAACTCTATTAAAAACAAGCAAATTTCCTACGTATATCTTATTTAAGTTGATGCGCTGATAGAGTATATTTATCTATGTAAGTATCGATATTACGAAAAGCATTTATAAAACAAAAAAAAAACAACAACAAACAAATCAGTATCGAACAGAAAAATCTTTCCACTTATTAGTCAATCGATCACTGACCACTGGCACGAATAGTGTCAATTTGTTTTATTTTATTTTATTTTTCTTACTCTATATTCGACACAGCTCCAAATAAACAACTTTTTTTTTTTATCACAATACACGCGCGCGCGTACACACTATTTAAAGCAGAATTCAATTATGACACCGGAGCGCATTTGAGAAGTTTATTTTGTTATATACTTCTCTCACTAATTTTTTTTATTTATTCGTGTGTATGATCATCATGGAAAGACAAAATAAAGATAAAATATATATACTATTTTCGTACGTTTTTGTCTTCTTTTTTTCTTTATCAAATACGTTCGTCCATACGCGCGCGTGCGCATATATTTTATATATTTATTTCCTATTTGTTCTAATGCACAAATTTGCTTGTTACACAATACTCTTTTATTTTTCTGCACAGATACATATCTTTTTATATTTATTGTTTTCGTTTTTGTGCTTTTTTAAAATAGGGTTTGGGTCATCCAATGCAAGCAACAACAGGTATGACACAATTACAACAATCAAATCAAGCTGTAGCCGTTGCAGCAGCTAATGGACAATTGAATGGTGGTTGTTCAACATTATTTTTAACTGGCTTTCCTGAACATGATTTTAAAAATATGTCATTTGCTTTGTAAGAAATTGAATTATTTTCTTTTCTTTTCTTTTTTTTTTTGTTTTTTAATAATTAAAAACTTTTTGTTTTTATTTATACAAAAAACAAAAGGCCGGGCAAAGCTCTTTGACAATCAGCGTGTGATTCACATGATGACTCATCCTCGTTTTCATCAACTAAATTAACAACTGATAAACAACAAGTTCTTTCTGCTCTTAGTAATCAATCAAAACAACAACAACAACAACCAGTGACTATTGTTGATTTAGTTGAGAAACAACAATTATCTCTTAAACGTTCTACGGATGAAAATTTATCAACATCGGATAAAAACATAAAACGTTTACGACATCAATGATCAATGGATTATGTTTTTCCGTTTTTTTTTCTTTGTTTTCGTTTACTTTTATCCTATCCTATCGAAATTCCTACCTGTCCAACAGTGATAATATCCAGTCTCATGTTGAATCACGAACGCATGTTTATTAATTATTCTTCCTATGATCTTCTTGTTTTTTT